TGCATACACAAACTACACTCTGTAAAAAATGACTACTTATCTAGCATGACTTTTTCTCATTGATTTTCGACGCCCCTAAAAGTCCAATTATATTTCATAAAAAACATGCACAAAAATATTCATTCTTTTGCACATTTGATAGCCAATTACGTCTTCTTCCAATCGTTTGCGCAAAGGAATGGTATAATTCGGTTTTCAAAATCTTTTCCAATTCTCGAATAATTTTGAACCCGCTTTACTGTTACACTCAGATTTAGGGTTTCCAAACTCCAAGCCGTATATCTTCCGCGTACGGAAAACCATAAATTCCTCTACGGTAATAAAGTGGGACCATACAGGGTTCATAAAATTAAACCGTGGATGTGATCCATATTGTTAACTTTGCAAGCCACATTGGTAAATGCAGAGACATGACGATTTATGAACGGCCATTTCACGGTATTTAAAAGTTCCACATCAAGAATCTTTTTAAAACCAAATTATGTTATTCTTTCTAATATAAAATTGGACGAAGACGTAATTATCTACCGAATGAGGAAAAGAATGAATATTTTTATGTATGTTTTCCGTGAAATATAATTGGACTTTTAGGAGCATCGAAAATCAAAGAGAAAAATACATGCTACATAAGTAGTCATTTTTTACAGAGTGTACTTTTTGTACGCCGTCGGAAGGAAGTTCATTCGAAAGCCGGCATCCTGTGGTACTTGGAATATTGTAGAATTTTGTTGCTGGCTGACTAGTTTTACAACCCTACTTAATAAATATTTTCGAAACGAAAACGCATTTCGGAAGTTGGGTTGACACTTCATGAGTTAGCCCACCTACTGTACATATACAACGGTATGCAATTACATCCGTATAAGTTGGAATCGCTGTGTATTCGTTATGATTATTTCGTGATGTCTGTGATGATTTTTTTTGAGCGGGAATCTGAAACGTTGCACGAATAAACTTTTTTTCCAACGCTCGCACCTCTCTTCTTTGATTATGTGTATGCACATATAGTTCGTCAAGCCCATGCATTGTCTATTTATATATGAGGACTGTAACGTTATTTGGGAGAACTCCGTTTTTTTCTACTTACGATTTTTATCGTGTGGCCGGTGATTGTGCTGTCTGAATATGCTGGGTAAGTGTGGTTAGGCAAGACAGACGTAACGGGTGTTGATAACATGGTATGGTCATGAAAGCAGGTGGGGAAGACATCTTCGTTCACAGAGATGATGATGATGATGATGATGATGACGACGACGACGATGATGATGATGATGATGATGATGATGATGATGACGATGATGATGATGATGATGATGATGATGATGATGATGATGATGATGATGATCGTTTTGGTGGGGTCCTGTGGCCGCAGGGTAATACGGTGGGCGTGGATTGATCTCACTGACATTGCGGTGGATCCGATGTATCCAACCCGAGACTTAGAGGCCCGATTTGTTTGAAGAACTGGGACACTTACAGCGTTGCTTTACTATACTATCGTTTTACATACTCGACGCCCCACCTAGTCTGCTCGTTTTCCGTCGGCTTTAGAGGCTGCTTCTCCAGTCTTTATGGCGAGACGCCTAACCTGCTGATCATGTACTAGGACCGCCAGCTCTCCTGGCTGATTTCAAGCTGCGCGCTCAAAGTATCATTCCTTTGTTCACCTTCCCAGCGGACTCCCGTAGCTGGGTTACCATAGAATAGTCGTAAGAAAACGAGTCACGCATTGCCCCACAGCATGCTGTTCTGGTCTTCTGATTAGCACGTAATCCACCGTTTATCGATGGTGGGACCGTGGTTAATCCGCTTTCGAAAGGTGGAAGTAGATGTTGGTAGAAGGAAGATTAATCTCAACATATGGAGTCCGTTGCACTTTCGCTTCATATGTTAACCTATTACTTCCTTCGGGTGGCGCGAGGTATGGTTGCGTGGTCAGTGGAGTCACCGAAGACAAAAAGTTATTTAGCCTTTGGTGGATCTCGGGGGGGGGGGTGCGATGGTCTTCGTAGAACTTTTTATTCACATCGTCACGTATCGGACGCATATCTGCTGACGATGAAGGTAGATTTCCTCTACAGAGCTGCATCATGGTCAGTGTGGTTTCGTTTTAAACTAAAGGCAGCAACAATCACTAATGGATCTCTCCGTCGGACGGCCATTTTGCTTTGGCGCAATCTGATCTCCACTTCTAGTCATGCACTACCTGTCCAGTTGCAAGGACGTTCAGCACACGAAATGCGCAAATAAGCCCGATTTCGCCTGGGTTTTGTCAGTCTTTTTAATGCCTAACACGGTCGCGCAGTGTGGTCGTCAACATGCACATGATGACTACCCTCCTGACCCTTAAGACGCTTCTGACTTGATGGGAAACACTTCATAACCAAAAATCACTCTCAGTTTCGTCAATGACTCTTTCTCCCCAATAAGACTGAAGATGTCGAATGATGATAGTTGGTAAGTGTCTGATCTTTCTGAACTGTTCAGGCCTTGTTCACGTTTGAACTCCAAGTCTTTCGGTGCATATGTATGTACGTATGCATGATATTCGGGTAGCTATTTTAGGTAGTGTCAGTTGTTTATTTAAAAACTGAGAAGCTGAGACATAGTCATGGCTCTGTTCCGCAGTATAGTTTCTAATTCGAGGCCCAAATGTTTGTGTACATATTCGGTATCATATTGCACCATTATTATTTCCTACCCAATGCTGCTTGAGACCACGTCAGGAATTCATGCCATGAAGAACCAGATCCCACGCAAGTTGGTGGAGTATATAAGTCTTCTCGTGTTTTCTTTTGCACAGCTTTTTAGTTGGAAAGGAAAGTGCATTTTACTCTAACCTTTCTATCCCCATCTTCGAATTCAGCAGTTTACAAATAGCTTGATTTTTCTGAAGAACCTCTCTCCATTTTCATTATATCGACTCAGAAAACATACCAGCGCTCATCTACATATATATACAGCAGAGAGGAGGAACGACAGAGAATGCGGGCAGATAGATATGGTACTGTTTCGGGCTTATTTTGCCAATCATAATCCTTACCAGCAGCTGGGACCAGAAACACAAACATGCTCACAGGCACACGTGGCACAGTTGATCCACCACTGGGGTCTATCAGACGGGTCATAAGCACTTCGCCGAACCGAAGTTCGTCAGTGCCTCGCCACGTGTCATCCTTTTTCGCTGCAGATCGGGTATTCATTTAACCAGGACTGAGCGCACACCGATCTATTGGTTTCCCGAAGCGAACAAGCTCGGTATGGGCGGCAAAGGTCACGAACAGGAAACCAACTACCGGACCGAAGTCCGCCAAGTCATAATAACAGCGAGGAGGGACGACAGAGAAGGCAAGTAGATTGATGCAGTACTGCTTCGGGCTTATTTTTCCTTCATTCGGAATATTCCCAGGTTTTAAGATCTATTCTCTCTGCACACATCCACTTTCTGTTATCTTCTCTGGCTCAGCCGAGTGCTTTTGTATCCCAGAAACCCCGGCTTTTTAGGAGATTTTACTGCGTCCTTAAACAAACAACACCTTTTGAGCAAATTTTAAGCGTGTATCTAGCCTTTCATCATGAAATGACAGACTTTGTAGATGAGAAGCAAAACGCCTTTATTAAACCAGAAAATTGTTAGTTACTTAAAATATGTCCTAGTAGTTTGGAAATTATTCTATGAACAAATTGCCGAGTGAGATACTTCATTTTGAACATATTTTAGCTCTTGGATTAGTGATAAAATGAATTTACTGTGACCATTAGCTCTCGGTCTGATTATTTTCGGGTTTTAAACAATTTATTTTGACTTAACTGTGAAAAACTCGGTGGGATTTGAACCGACTACAGCAAGGAGAAAGTTGGAGTACATCTAATGCTCTGGCAACGAGAGCTACGAGACACAATCGGGAGCCGTGAGTTTGGACATATTTTGAGCCACGTAATCCGCCCAGCTTATTGCAACGGACGGAATCTGCGAAATCTGATACAATAAGCTGACTGCCTAATCAGCATTTCCTAAGCAATCAATTCAGAATCCACCAGATGACTACAAGGTTCACGCAATTAAAAGTGTTTCGGCAAATACCTAAAACCTGTGTTTGCCAGCTTGGCTTTCCAAGATTTCGGATAATTTATTTCGGCCCCACTTTAGAAATTTCGGCGACCTCGAGGAGATTGAAACTTACGACAACAAGACTGGGAAGGCTTGAGCACAGCGAAATCTTGTAGCTCAGGTGGCTAGGCCGTTGACCGCACTCGAGCCTTCCCCTGGCTGTTGTTATTTTGAATCTCACTGAGGTCGCCGAGTTTTTCACAGTCGGTCCAAAATTTATTTCGGTATAAACAAACCCAAGTGACAGACAAATTAGAAAAACTGAGCTACATGCTTTTGCAATGTCCACCATATTCATACAACCTTTTACAATGAGGTTGTGGCACTTTTTGTCATTTTGAGTTACGTCTCCTGAATAAGACATCCAGGAAGCTAGGTAACATAATGAATTTTTCGGGCAACACTGAGTGATTTTCCAAAAGATGAATCTTTCATTTAGAATACTACGCTGGAGGAAGCTAATGGAGCGAGTGCTCTTTATTCTGATAATAAAAATTTTGCTGGAAATTAAAACCATAGCCCCTCAATTTGTTCATGTTTTTTTGTAAAAATATATTTCAATTTACAAGACCATCGAAAGTCACCGTGAAAAGTGCATGCTACTTAAGTAGTCATTTTTTACCAAGTGCGGTTTCTACAAGAGATTGAAAAGAGATGCATTCAAAAGCCGACATTCTGCCGAGTACGAAATATAATAGGATTATGTCGCAAGGCAATCAGTATTACAACGGCACCTAAGTATTCCTTCCTAATCGAAAACGCATTTAAGAATTTTAGCTAACATTTCATTACATCGGTCACTCAATGATCTGGTGCAGATTTTGAGTGTTGGATTTCCGGGTGTTCTCTTGTAAAGGGCTGCATTTCGGGGCTCTTGCTAAGCGTTCTTTAACGAATTATTATATCCACCAACCTTGTTAATTATCATTAAATTGTTTAGGCTAGACGAACTTTGTCCTCAACTACCTATTACCCTCAAAAATACGGAAGTAGCTGCGCCCGCCGCCAAGGATTTGGTCGCAGGGCTCGTGTTGAGGACTTATGATGTCATCTACAATACACATCACAGTCTAACTATATTTTGAAGTTTTGCCTAGGATTAAACTACAGTTTTCAAATCTCCTGCCTTTAGAGGAAGTCGACGTCGATTAGGTTGCCGACCATTACGTTTGCAAAAGCCACTTGGATGGGCCCGTTACTCATAAATAGATAGTTAAGATGCTTTGGTGACTGAAAGGCCCCGCGAACAGCTCTTTTTTTTCATATTGACCCAACTATGGGAAACTCGGCGCCTCGGTGGAATTCTAACCCACGACAGCAGCGGTAAGACTTTAGTACAGACAACGCTCTTGACACCTGAACTACAAACGTTGGCTGTACTTCAGCTGAGGCATAGTCTGGCCAAAGTATTTAACCACTCGAGAGCCAGATGGTTGAGCAATTATCATGCCAGCATCCAACACCAGTGATGAGATTTCAACAATTAACAACTTGCATGCGGGCCATCAAGCAATTATCGCACTGGAAGGCATCAGTACTCGATGAAGAGGAGAGCGGTTAATTATCATAGGTATGCAGTATCTGTCATTGCCCCTGATGATGGATTTTAACGAGAATCCAAAAAGTCAGGAGAATAAAGCTATTTTTCTAGCGATCGTTTCTACTTTTTATCAAAGCTGATACAGTAAGCTGGCTGTCCACGCAGGAGTTTTTGAGTAATCCACCTAGAACCCACCAGATGTCTACCAGGCTCACGTAATTCGTGGATGCTTGGGCAGATTTTGAATAAATCTTGTTGACCTGTCTATATTTCAAATTTTGGTCTGCGCCCATAGACCTTAGAATATACTGGTTTACTCCTATTTTGCAGTTAACTTTTGAGGAAATTAAAAAAAACAACGATTTTGAAGAAGGAGACACGATCGCTGGGACAAGAGCTTTATTAGCCTGAGGTTTCGGATTCCTGCTCGAACCCATCTTCAGAGACAAAAGCGGATACGGGTAAACTGGAGTATCTACCAGAAGGCAGGCGAGGAGTGCTGGGGGACACACAGAAGAGCCAAATCCCTCACAGATGTGCCATGCAGCGGCAGAACATCGGCCAAACACGCGTGTATGGGCTTTTAGCGAGTACCTGTGCTGTCCGTATAGTAGCTTGTGACCCTAAAGCATACTATCAGCTGCCTGTCGGCAGTTAATGAATATTACGCGGTTAACCTGCTGTGGCTGATGGACCTCGGCCCAAATATTCATACATCAAACTTCGGTCTGCGCCTACAGACCTC